TTGTGTACCCACCCTAACAAAATGATAGCTGAAATGTGGTACTTTATTTACTAAAATAAGTTTAATCTTACCATATCCAAAAACTCGCTCACTCTGCTGTTATTTAATAGATTAAATGCACTAGAATTTTATTGAATAGTACGTGGAGACACGTTTTTAATTAAAATATTCATATTAATCAAGGATTTATTGACTTTTAATGCACCTTATTTCGAAATGTACAGAAATACGTGCTTTCATATGTCCTTTAGTTAAGATTATTTCATTTATTCACTATAATGTTTACTATTAATGTCTCATTTCAGTTTTAGTTTGGCTCTAGTTTTGTATTTATTCCAGTTTATATGAAAAGGTTCATGTAGCGTGGGTTAAAATTCATATACAGAGTAAATCCTTTTCACTGAACATTGTTAAAAATAAGTTTGAAAAGTTGTCTGGAGCAGGTGGTGGTGATGTTGAAGGCGAGCGAGCGACCGTGGTGCTGTAGTTCGTTTATAGCCTACGTTTAGCTTTTAAGTTCTGGCGCTTTTATTTAGGCTTCAAAATTCATCAAAGTTATATTATTTTGTGAAGATTATCTTGATGGCCACTATTATCATAATCTTTTAAAATATTGTCAACTTTTTTTTTTCTTCTCTTCTCTTCCATATGTTCAGATGACATTGGATGTATTGTTGATACATTATGTGTAATGTATGCAAAGTTGTGTTTCATTAATGTCATCTCTGAATTGTTTGCAATAAAAAAATAAAAAATCTTTTAAAATGGTGTTATCACTTGAATGTTTTGCTGCCTGTCATATCATCCAGATATTTTGAATAGTATTTGAGGGGGACCAGGTGGAATATTTTAAGAATCATCCGTTTAAAAAAATATATTGTTCGACTACTGATATAAATACTAGAAGAATATTTCTATTTTAGAAATATTCTAAAACTTCCCAGCCTGTCGAGGGCGCTCCTGATATTACAATAAGCCTATTCCCCGTAAATGTCCCTCTAAACTCTTTTTGTCCGCTTGCTCCTTATAATGTAATGAACGCTTATTACATATACAGAATGTTGCCC